CCTGCTTCAGGATCCTGCCCCTTAATTCCAAATGCCGCAGCCCACGGCACATAACTGATGCTCCACCTCGGGGGTGGGCCGAGGTGCTCTCTTCCCCCAGCATCTGGGACCCCTGCTTAACTGAGAAAGGTAATAAACACTGCACTCAGGTATGTTTTCTTCCACCATACCCGCTTCTTTGCGTGAGTGCATATCTTGTGGGTGATGGGAAAACTGTCAGTGTTTCCTGGCGTTCGAGCCAAGTATGTCTCAACGGGCTTATGAAACCAGTCTGTCTGTCACAGTCTGGCATGCGGCACGTCTTTGCTCTAAGTCTTTGGTCTGATTTAAAAACTCATGTATATGATATCATCTGGGCCCCAGAAGCTTATTTTAAAATATTTTGTTGCATTTTCAGATTTATTTAAATTCACACAAAATTCGACGTAATTCACTCTACAAAGCTGGCATTTCTTATACCACATATCAACATACATTTCAGTTCTCCGTTACTGCGAGCGGAAGAACAAGCTGACCCTGCTAATCAAACCTAATGGGTGCTGAGACACTTTGCTTTATCTCCCAGCTGTGACCAATCACTTATCATCTATTTCTGCAAGCTGCATCCGAATGCCAATCACATCGCTTCCCAGTAATACCTTCTAAATGACAAAAAAGTCCTTCCCAGAGAGCAAAGAGTATCAACTTATTATTTGGGACAGGAACAGCCTGGGATAGGAGGGAGAAAGAGTACGCAAAGGCTACCAAAGTAAAGGCTGACTACATTTACAACTTGGCTGAGACCCATCTTGGACTTGGAGAGGTGAAGACCCAAAGATCTCACAGGAAGAAAGGTGAAGGGATGATGTGGCAGAAAGCTCTGGAACTATGGGGCCTATGGCATTTAATTTGGTGGCACTCACAGGGTGGCTTGGGTGTGTGGCTCCAGCACAGCTCATGGTTGCATAAGGTCCAGAGTCCTGCGTAGAGCTCAAGGCCATTCTTGACCACCAGGAACTGCACCCAGTTCAGTGGGGATATGCAGATCAGCATTAGGAGGCTAAAACCACAGAGGCTGCCACAGAACATTCGGATGTAGGTGTGTGTCTGATCCACATGATGCTGCCGCCTCTGGGGTGGCATCGAGGCATTCGGATGTTTGTTGGTGGGGAGGGTAGACTACAAGGATGAGGGAGATATTGCCTACCCAAAAGGATCACCCCTGATCCCCAGGGTCTCCTATTCTTCTCTACCTCAAATATCCCCATGTGGGTTTGATTTGTGGATAACTTTCCCCACTCCTTTTATAAAAACAAAAATTTTAGGGTGATCTTTTCTCTGTCCTTAGGATGCTCTGTCTAGCCCCACCTTTAAGTAAGTCCTCTTCCTCTCATCTGACCTCCAATTAGGTGCCTCCTCACCCTTTGGTATTTCCGGTTCCCCTTTATTTTGGGAACCTCAGGAGTGTGGAAGGTCAAGACTAAATTTTCCCTCCGCGCCATCTTGGCAGCCAGCTCACTTTCTAACTGCCACGGAATTTGCCTCAGCATGTCCTCGCGCGTGCTTGGCAGCACCAAAAAGGGCCAGGACCCATTGCCCAGATCCCATTTCTGTTTTATATTCTGGGTCTGGCCAGATCAGGAAGAAACGATCACATTTTAAGCATGTGTATGTATATGTGATGCTCCCCACCTGCCCTTCTTCAACTTTTCCCAACTGTCAGCAGTTGCTGTGTGTCAGGCTTTGTGCTAAGTCCTGGGACATAAAAATGAGTAAGACACAGTACCCGCATAGCAAATAATAAAGTGTAATTCCGATGTCTTCAGAAGTCAATTGCTTGCGGTTATTATTTAAGATTAGATACATGTCAGTAGCCAGTAGCCTGGAGTTCATGCCAAGTATGTCTCAGGCTTGCTTTTGTGGATCACATTTTTTCATTTTATTTTCTAGTTTGTCATTGCTAATATATAAGTAAGCTATTTTCTCTACGTATTTATCTTGTATCTGACCACTTAACTGAATCATTTTAATTCTTACGGTTCTTTTGGGTAATTTCTCTTGGATTTTTAGGTAAACATCATATCCTCTGCAGATAAGGTTAATTCTTTCTCTTCCTTTACAAAATTTATCTTATTGCATTGATCGGACCCTCCAGAACACTCTTCGTGAAGTGATTAAGGGTTAAGGGCAGTGGGCATCCTTAACTTACTCTTAACTTTCATGCAGCTGGTTCTACTGCTTTTTGTTTTATATGTATATTCATTTTCATGTTAAAGAAATTTCATTCTATTTCTATTTTGTCAAGATTTTTTATTTAGAATGACTATATCAAATTCCTTCTTAGCCTCTAG